TTAAAAACTGGCATAGACACTGAGAACTGGGGAGCCCTGGCCTGTGAGCACTCCAGCTGGAGATCAGCTGTGAACAGCAGTGCTGCATAATTTGAAGAGGCACAAATGGAGGGCGAAACAAAGAAACGTGCCAAGAGGAAGGCGTGTCAAGCCAACCCTGACTGGGACCGCCTTCCACCTGGAATCCAATGCCCTCCCTGCGGGAGAACATGCAGGTCAAGAATAGGGCTCCACAGTCACCTACAGACCAACCCTGGAAGATTATCCTACTCGGACAACAAGGGATCGCCTAAGTAAATAAGTTAGGAATTGCCGGAGTTGAAGTCTAAAACACCTGGAGGGCCAGAGTTTGCCCATGCCTGAGTTAGAAAGATGGATGGATAGATATATAGATAGTCCCAAAGGGAGAGGTCTCCTAAAAGATCGAGGACTCACCCTTCCCTCCAAGGCCCTTTCCAACAACGTCTTCCCCAAGGGTTGCGTATCCTCAGCAGGATAACATCTTTCCTGGACACTTTGGAGAGGTCTTGCATGTCAACCACAATGAAGGCATGGAACTCCCCCAATTCGCTGGTCCCTGGCATAAAGAAAAGGCAAGGACATTATCCAATATTCAGTTCCATCCACGTATATACAGAGTAGCTTCCACCATGTCCTCCAATACAACTGTATGGGTGGTTTCCAGCAAATGTGGCTAGAGTTATACTAGAAATTCCTCAATAAGACTATTTTAATAAATATGTGAATAACCAAATCTGCCAAAGATAAATTGGAGAATGTGGTGGGAATTGTCTCCCTACTTCTTTCACCAGAAAATGTGGACTGCTTTCAATGATGCATGGTCACAACTAAGAAGAAAGTGACTGGGCCACGTTCAGAAGAGGACAGAGGTGTGGAAAGCAACCCATCTGTTGCTCCACAGACTAGACCATGAGACAGTGGATCCAAATTACAATTATTTATTATTTATTTATTTCTTGCACTTATTAACCGCCACTCTCAGCCCTAGGGCGACTCGTGGCGGTGTACAACAACATAGAAAGACAGTTTACAATAAATCAAGACAATAAACACAATCTACTACTACATGACAACTACTTATACTAAAAATCCGCTTCGTCATATCCTGGGGTCATAATCAATCTCATAGTCATAGTCCATTCCGGTCGTCATTTCCAATAACATAGCACTCAGTTGAAGGCCAATTCGAAAAGCCATGTTTTCAGGCCCTTGCGAAAGGCCATAAGGGAAGGCGCCTGTCTAAGTTCAGCAGGGAGAAAAAGAGTTTACAAGAAAAGAGTTTCCACCTAAATATTAGATAGAACATCTTGACTATAAGTGCTGTTTAACAACTGTTTAACTGTTTAACAATGGATACACTGCCTCAGATGGTAGTCAACTCTGAAGGTCCTTAAATAAGAGCTGGATGGAGATATTTGAGGAGTCCTGCTGTCCAACAATGCCTCAGAGGGTAGTCAACTTTGAAAGTCCTTAAATAAGGGCTGGATGGAGATCTTTGAGGAGTTCTGCAAGGTAGAAGAATGGACGAGGTGGCCTTCATGGTCCTTCAAACTCTTTAAGATTCTGTGACTTGGAAGAACCTTTCCAGCACAAACAAAGGACCAAAGAAGGACTGGATGAGATGAGCAGCTTTATCTTTGGGAAATGTTCTCACCAATTGGACCACCCAGAAACCTTCTGAAGAAGTCTCTCCTTACCTTGCCGTGAGCTGAAGACAGAGCAGCTCATAACGCATTTCTCCTTGAGGTTCATCAGTCTCCTAAAGACTGATTTCTCCAAGACTTTGCCTGCCCTCTCCCTCTCTGTGCTTCGCCCGGGGTCTTTTAGGGTCCACCTTTCTGCTAAGCCTCCGGTGAGATCCACAAGAGCATCTGCAACTTGCCCGGCCCAGAGTTGCTCATAAGAGCCATGTACCCTAAAAACGTATGTATAGACCAAAAATGAAACAAAAAGAAAATTGTCAGAGGCATATCACTGAAGACCAAAGGCAGGATCAACCATACTATATTGTATTTCTAGTTTCTGCATATAGCTGCAAAAGCAGGAGAAGAACAAAATGAACCCAAGAGTTCTATGGAAGCCATGGATGGCCAAAATGACCAATAAATGGGTTTGAGAGCAAATCAACCTTGAACACTCTTTAGAAGTCAAAATGACTCAACTGAGGTTCAAAGATCCAAACTAAGCAAAAGGTAAAAGGACAATCCCAGAATTGTATGGATTCTTACCCAACTTTCTTCTGATCTAAATGAAATTCTAGACACTGATTTAGCGTCTTCACACCATAACAAAGAAATATAATAATATTTAAGCCCTGGAGAGAGTGGGGAGAACAAAAATTAAAGAACAATCCCATATTAGATGCTGGAGTTTATTGCACGAGACTAGTAAACTGGCATTGCAGCTGTACTGTCGTCTTTGGTCATGGACCCTATCACATTAACAATGTGCATCCCTGTGGTGAAGTGTGAATTTTAACCTACAGTTATGTATAATTATAGATAGGTGTTTAAAAGAGTAAGTATTTAAAATAGCATAACTGGGGGGATGGGAGCCAGTTCAGCTCACTCTGAGCTGGGTTGCCATGGAAAAAGAGGAGGAGCCAACTGCCACTTGGCAGGGCAGGCATTTTAAAACGGTCAGTCTGTAGTCTGAGAACTGCAGGAAAGGCTGGTTCTACAGTGTTGAGAATCAGGGAAGTAGTCTGTAGTTAGAGAACTACAGGGAAAGGCTGGTTCTACTGTGTTGAGAACCAGGAAGGTTTAGACTTTTAGCCTGTGTGGTTTGGGTAGGTCAAGTTGACTTATTTAGATTAGTAGTTAGTGTATGAGCAAAAAGGGGGAGAGAACTCCAGTAAAAATCTTTACTGCACAGAAATAACATCAGGAAAGAATAAGCTAGTACCTGAAGTGAACTGTTAAGGAAAGAAACTCAGTTTGAAGAAAAATAAGTTTAAAACCTGTTTAGTGGAAGGAACAGTCCTCTCAAGAGTTGTTTTATGAAATGTTATAAATGTAACCTCTAAAGAAATGGGCCTCTAGGAGTTAAGAAACATTGAAACCATTAAGCTTCTTCTATACTTCAATAAACTTGTTACAGTTTCTCTTAAAGCCAAGTCTTTGTTATGAATACTTTCAAGTCAAGCCGCGCTACACATTAAAGAAAGCCCAACAAAATATTATAAGCTATTAGCTGTGTTATCAATTTTATAAATCCATTACAAATAGTAGGAGACCCTGATAAATCAGTAACGGTCCTACTGCTTCTGGTGTCATTTTTACAAAGTGGTAGCATCGTTACAAAGTGGTGGCATCTTTACAATCCCATTGCTGGTCTACCTTCCCATCATGTTTATCCTGACCTTAGCTATTGATGGGGACCAGAAGGAAAACATTGCACAGAAGTAAGTGTCACGAGCGTAGACTTAGGAACGATTGATGGGTTTTACCTAGGAATAGTGCACTAAGGTTTTACCTTAGTTTTACTAAGTTTTACTAAGTTTTACTAAGTTTACTTAGTTTTACTTAGTAAAACCAAGTTTTACTAAGGTTTTACCTTAGTGCACTGGGTCCCTTCCGGTTCTATGCTGGCCTGCTGGCAGTAAAGTGATATCAGAAGATGGGATTTCACTTCTACTCCCCTCCCTCTTGATAATCTCAATGTGTCTGTTTCCCTTTCCCAAACAGTGGGAAGGGGGACGACAAGGAAAATGGCAAATCAGGGCCACTGCATAATTGAATGTACCCACTATCAATGATAAACACAACTGTAGAGGACTAGTGGGTTCATGCAATAAGGTCCACTATCTCATGATACTATATATGTTAAGGCACAGCTGCACTTCACATACTTGGCATAAGCTTTTTCCAGCAGCGGGAGCCAAAACACATCCTCCATCTGGCACTGGGAGAAGCAGAGTTTCCCTCCCAAGCAAGGCAGGCGGTCGTCTATGGTGACCTCCACCCAGTGTCCGAACTGCCAGATGCGACAAGTGAAACAGCCTCTGTATTTCTCATCTCTCCAACTGGGCTGACCAGGAGGGATCACCTGCGGAAAACAGAAGATGGGGCCAGCAAGTCGGCATAAACAGATGGGATCGGAATAGCCATCACATATTGATATATTTGATTTAAAGCCCAGTTTTCTCTTGAATAGGATTCATATCTTCCCATACCTTGAGAAGTCAGACTTGGCCATGCTCTGGTTACATCC